ATGTTTCCATTCTCGAATCACATTCATCAGGAAAAAGCATATGAGAGCCTAATAACATGCAAACATAAAATGATCAGTTAAATACTAATACTATGAATCAGTTGTTAAGTGTTATCGAGTTGGTTGTGACTCATAGTGTTTCCAAGGAGAAGATCATGGATTTAAACTGCCAACTTGTGGCTCACAGTTCAGTGCTGATGCTAGGAGTCAAAATACAAACACAAATACAGAATGAAAATTACTTGGATACAATAGAAGATTTTATCTTACGTGAAGAAATGACACAGTGGCTCAAAGAAAAGACCCAGATGCAGAGCAAGAATTTGTCTCTGAGGAAGAACAGGTAATGAAACTACTTGAGAAAAAAATCAAAGGAATGATATTTAGATATTTTCAATGGATTGACAGAAAGAAATTAGAGGAAAATAAGAAGAACACAGAAAAATATGAGACAAATTTAGAAAAACACAATATGAACAAACAAGCAAAAGAAATGCAAATTTTGTAAGATTACAAAATCTACAAATAGAAATCCAGAAGATTAAGGCTAAGATCTCAGAAATAGACACTATATTAAAAAGACAAAGGAGTACAGTTGAATCAAGAGAAGCTCAGGTTAGTGAGCTTGAGGCTAAAATGACTCAATGCTAGTAAACTAGAAGAACAATCTGGGGAAAAAGAAGAAAAATCAGAAGAAACTCTAAGATTTTTGTGGGACACCATGAAGATGAATAATTTATGGGTGAACGGAATTCCAGAACAGGAAGACAAAATAAAAGAGCATGGAGAAATTGTCAAACAATTGCTGAAAGAAAACTTCCCCACTCTCATGAAAGACAAAATTACCATTCAAGAAGTGGAATGAACTCTGAACAGGCTAGAAGCCAAAAGAAATCTTCAAAACATATCTAATCAATATTTCTAAAACCGAAGACAAGGAAAGAATCATGAGAGTAGGGAAGGAAAAAATTAAAGATTTATCTACAAAGGAGAACCAGTAAGACTAAGCTCTGATTTCTCATCAGAAAACTTA